CGAGCTGAAGTGTGGCAAAGGGTAGAGCGTACGAGGAGCTTTACCAACATCTGAGTACGAAGGAAGGAGAGAAGAACATTTATAGGATGGCTAGGGTTCGTGAGAGAAAGACAAAGGACTTCAACCAAGTGCATTAAGGATGAAAGTGAGCATCTCTTGGTGAAGGAGGATAAGATCCGACATCGATGGCAAGAGTATTTTGATAAATTGTTCAATGGTGAGAATACGGACACAACCTTTTAGTTGGATGACTCTTTTGATGACACCAACAGGCGCTTTGTGCGGAGAATCCAAGAATCTGAGGTCAGAGAGGCGTTGAAAAGGATGAAAGGAGGTAAGGCGATGGGACCGGATGGTATCCCAATCGAGGTGTGGAGATGCCTTGGGGACATAGCTATAGTATGGCTAACCAAGCTGTTTAACCATATTTTTCGATCGAACAAGATGCCTGACGAGTGGAGAAGTATATTGGCACCGATCTACAAAGAGAAAGGGGATATTCAAAGTTGTACTAATTACCGGGGAATTAAGTTGATGAGCCATACTATGAAGCTATGGGAGAGAGTTATCGAGTATCGCTTGAGAGCAATAACGTGGGTCTCTATGAACCAATTTGGTTTCATGCCCGGAAGGTCAACCATGGAAGCCATTTTCTTAATAAGACAAGTTATGAAGCGGTATAGAGAGAAGAAGAAGGGCCTACACATGATTTTTATTGACTTAGAGAAGGCTTATGATAAAATACCAAAGAATGTTATATGGTGGGCTTTGGACAAACATAAAGTCCCAACAAAGTACGTCGGGCTCATTAAGGATATGTACAACAATGTTGTGACTAGTGTTCGAACAAGTGATGGAGATACAGATGACTTTCCGATTAGGATAGGACTACATCAAGGGTCAGCTTTGAGCCCTTATCTATTTGCCTTAGTGATGGATGAGGTCACAAGGGACATACAAGGGGACATCCCTTGGTGTATGCTTTTCGCGGACGATGTAGTGCTAGTTGATGAAAGTCGGACAGGAGTGAATCAGAAACTAGAGTTATGGCGGGAGACTTTGGAGTCCAAAGGTTTTAGACTCAGTAAAACTAAAACTGAGTATATGAGATGTGACTTCAGCACTACTACTCGGGAGGAGGAAGATATTAGTTTGGAAGGTCAAGTAGTGCCTAGGAAGGATACCTTTTGATATTTAGGATCAATGCTACAGAGAGATGAGGATATTGATGAAGATGTTAGCCATAGAATCAAAGCAGGGTGGATGAAGTGGCGCTAAGCATCTAGTGTCCTATGTGACAAAAGGGTACCACAGAAGCTAAAAGGCAAATTTTATAGGACAGTGATTAGACCTGCTATGTTGTATGGTGCAGAATGTTGGCCTACGAAAAGACGACATGTTCAACAGATAAGTGTCGTGGAAATGCGTATGTTGCGTTGGATTTGCGGTCATACAAGAAGGGATCGAGTTCGGAACGATGATATACGTGATAGATTAGGGGTAGCACCAATTGAAGAAAAGCTTGTCCAACACCGGTTGAGATGGTTTGGATATGTCCAACGGAGACGTCCAGAGGCACCGGTGCATAGTGGAATCCTAAGTCAGGATAGTAACATGAAGAGACGCAGAGGAAGACCGAAGTTGACTTGGGTAGAGGCAATAAAAGGAGACTTGAAAGGATGGAATATACCAAAAAACTTAGCCTTAGATAAGAGTGCTTAGAAAACAACTATTCACGTGCCTAAACCTTGATTGCTTCTGCTGGGTTTTAACTCTAGCCTACCCCAACTTGTTTGGGACCTAAAGGCTTTGTTGTTGTTGTTGTTGTCGTGGTCTAGATATAATCTATGTTTAGATACATAGTAAAACTATGTATCTAAAACCCCTCACCCTGGCCACGCCGTGCCCGACACACTACAGCTCCCCGCACTAACAAAATGCAAGCACTGAGTTTGACCTAGCATGCTGTTTGAATCGGGTGAAGCCTCTAACCAAAACATAATCAAAATAAAAATGAAAGACACACTAACAAACTAAGCACTGCTAATTTCTATATATCAAAGCAGGAGAGTTTGGCCGCTCCTCACGGTGTCCACGTCGCCCCGAATCGTCCTGGCCGTTCGATCTCGTGTTGGACGTCCCAGATTTACTGTAGCGGATTTCGTAGTAAGCGGTTTCCCGTGCTTCTCCTCGGCTTTTCCGGCTTCTCCGCAACTTCTGCTTGGCTTTTCTGGCTCCTCGCCGAAATCCAGCCAAACGAATATATTCGCACCTCCTGCTTCAACTTCTAGACGCTTCTCCTTTCCCCATCCTCTCTCCTCTTCCCTCTCTCCCCCATGGGCGACGGGTGATGGCAGGGCGACGGTGGCTCATGCCGGCGGTGACCCGCGCCTACGGCCGGCTTCGCCCTCCTCCTCCTCCCCCCTCGCGTCGCCTCATGCTAGCTGGAACCGTGCTGGCGGCGCGCACCGCCTGAAAGCGGTGTCGGGCGCGACGGCCTTGGCGCGCATGCAGCGTGATCCACCGGTCATGGTGGCCCCACGGTGCAAAAGCGCTCACATGAGTGGGCCCGCCGTTGGCCACGGCCTGGTTCCCCCCACCGCTGACCTCCTACCAATGTTGCGCGCCTGCTCCTGTGCAATAGGAAACCCTAGGTGGCTCTCCTCTCTCCGATTTGTCGCTGCCTCTCCCTTCTCCTCAACAAGCTTCTTCAGGATCAGTTGGACATTATGAAAAAGGTGTTGTTCCAGGTATCGCTTCTATGTATCTTCCTATTGCCTCTACTTCCATTTTGTGTACGACCTTTTTCCCAAGCTTCTTATGTGGGTTTGCTCATAATGCCCAAGACCCTGTAATTGTTGGACAGACTGCATCAGGTGCAATTTGCCGATAACCCATGAGTCATTTTAAACTTATTAATAGTAGTGAAATGCAGTAAGCGATTGTTCAATGAATGAGAATTTGGTAGGCAGTCTCTGTCATCAAATTAGCTGGTTTGTGTACTTCACCGTTAAAATTTTAGATTATCTTTTGTAGTGCTATACTAAATCAAATTATCAGCGGCGGTAACAACATGAAACACTACATGATATTTTTACTGCTCAATCATGTGCTTGGGAGAGATGGTACTCAGGATAATGAAAACTATGTACGGATTCAAGCCCACTGGGAATTCTGGACAGATAGACATAAATATTTTCATCCTATAACTGGCCTGACAGATGTACCTGATTATGTATGTAACCTAAAAAATAGGGTGTCAGTGTTTGAGAGGGAGAATTTTTTTATAACATTACAGTCTGATGAGTTCTGTTGCCTTCACAGACCCCTTACGTTTGGATTTATGATTCCATGTATGAGTGCCTTTTACGTATGTTGTCCGATTCCGCCTTTGTATTGCATAACTTTATTTTGGCTGTAGGTGTAGATGGTTTTTGTTGCAATTGTGATCAAAGGAGCCTCTGTGGCCCTAATTTATGGTTCCCAGATCTGTTTCATGCACCCAAAGTATAAGAGAACAATGTTGACATAATTCACGGTGACTGCATCCTCAGGTCTCCAATCCCAGCCCCAAATCCAAAAAATATTGCAATTGGATTTTACTTACTATTTCGGTGTTTCGTTCTTGGTATTTTCTGAAATAATTTGTAATTTCAAGACTACACCTACATTTAAATTGCTCTGTGCTTTGGCATCTAGTGGTGCAAAAACAGGTCCAATTGCAACAGTGAATCTCCTGCAAAATAGTTAGGGTCAAACCACAGCTTCCAATTAAAATTAATATAGTTGGATATGAGCAGCATTCGACTGCCCTCCCGCTTAACATCTCCAACTGATTAAAGAATCTACTCACATGTCTGCCTCTAAATTACATTAAAGAAAGGTTAATAACGAAGCTAGAAAGGAGGAACCTTGTCTATATCAAAGTAAGTTCCAAGAAGTTCAATGAGATACAGTGAATACTGGATAATTTCAGCTCACGTTGTTTTTGTTCGCTGCTAAAACCTACAGGTCTCGCAACTTAGAGGCTTTGGGGCAGTTTACTTTCTACTGCTCTCAGCTGTTGGTTTTGCATGCAGTTTAACTTCTAAGCTTTGGGCCAATTAAATTTCTACTGCTCTCAACTGTTGGTTTTGTATGCTGTTTTTTTTACTTTGTTATCGATGCTATTATTATCACAGGGAACTCTTGTTTGGTATATTTGAGTCTGGTTGCTTGGACTGCCCAATAATATAGTAGGTATAGATCTTTGGACGTGTCTGTTTTATAATCTTTGATTCTATATACATGTATGGGTTAATTAATGATACACTTCTTATATTTGGATAAGGTGCACAGTTTAGATAACCGTTCAAGTTATTTGATCAGTCATCAGGGTGATGAGCTTTTATCAGAACACAGTAAACATACCTCTTGTCACAGCTATGTTTATGTTGTTCTTGCTTCATCCTACCTTCCTATTCTAAAAATCTTTGACAGATTTATTTTCTTAGTTCGTAAACTAATGCTTCAATTTATGTGCACATTTTCTACAGGTTTCAATATGCCATGAGGGTTCTAACTCAGCTTCGTAACATTTAAATGATTTTAGGTATGTTACGGCTGTCAAGTTTTTAGTGGTGTGGAAATTCTTAATCACCAGTGTTAGCTTACAGTGCTTTGTGTGGCATTAAGGTCTTAAGACACTGTTCTAAAATTTGCGTTGTAGATTCGTGATTACCACGCATAGAAAATGCCATGATTTCGAAAGTATGCATAGTAGATGTGTCCTGCATCATATAAAAAAAGCTCCAATCTTTCAGTTTTTGAGCATAACATATCTACATTAAACTTCTAATATTATTTCCATGCAAAGATTAAACATGTTTTTTACATGCGCCTTAACCAAGTGATTTGCCGGCACGCGCGAGGGAGCGCGTAATGGACTAGTAAGCTTTATTTGACATAATAGAGATCAAACTGGATGGTTACCTTCTGATGTTAGACACATCATCACGAACCTAGTAAACAGATGGCGTAATCCAAATTGGGACTGGGAAAGACATCGAAGAAAAGGGAAAACATTCAGTGTTGGGCGTCCTTGGACCTCCATTGTATATGGGAATTTCTCCGATTTTGTAAAAACCCATGTCCCGGTAATTTTCTGTCGCATATTCATGTTTGCAGTTGTCCATCAGATAGAAAAGGTTGGGCTCCAACACTGGCAAGTCCTTAGTTGAAATGCACATGGAATTATTGTATCCAAGAAACAATGAGTGATCTCCCAAGGTGGTGATCTGGTCCAGTTTTTGTCCATGGAGATCAACCTTGAAGACCTGCACATCAAATGACTCAATCTGTGCGTATGTGGTGTAGTCCTCATTGTTATCGGTGTATGGCGGATGGCGCCACCATTGGTACAGGGTCATTTCTATCCACCTGAACACCTGCAGGAGGTCGCCTGATGGCGTCTTGACAAGGTACATTGTTATGAGATCATGGGTGCGGCCAGGATTGTACATCGGCATTGCTGAACGCATGATGCTGCTAGCTGACGGTGAATGCCCATTTTGGTCCAAGGTGTAGATAGCGCTGTCAAAGCGCAGCGCATAGAGCAGACCATTGTCAGAGTTGAAGACAGCATCATGGTAGCCGCTGCGCTCGAGAGGGCCATGGCCCATGGCGGAGACCGGTGTCCAGGACTCATCGCCAAGCCTGGCGAACGAGAGCTCGCCTTCTGGCCAGTGAATGAGGAGCACAATGCATTCGGCCCCAGCGGAAGGTGAGCACGACAGGACGGCGCGGAAGTACATGGTCTCGCGCGCGGCAAGGGCGGTGAGGGTGTCAGTGGGCTCCTCGTCAGCGTCCCGGTTCACAAAGACCCGGTATGTTAGGTCGCCGCCCTCGCCTGTTACGCTCTCGACGTTGTGGAGACTGGCGAGGGGCTGGAGCGCGACCTGGGCACCGGTGAGGGGATTCACGACGTGGAGGTTGGAATCCTCGTCTGCGGTGACGAGCCACCCGTACGCCGAGCCGACGAAGGTCCGGCTGCTGAGCGGAAGGCCCGGGAGGGCAGTACGAATGGAGGGCGATCTGGAACTGGAAGCATCGATGGAGGTCGATCTGCAAGGGGCGCAGAGCACTGCGATGTCGGGGTCATCGCCGCGGGCGGAGTAGATTGCACAGGGGGGCTGCTTCGGGGATGGAACGCGGAGACAGCGGAAGGCCGTGAACGCGGCGTGCCAGGAGGAGCAAGCGGCGCCGGAGCGGACGAGGTCAATGACCTCTAGCTGCCCCATGACGACGACAAGCAGCTCCTCCGGCAGGAGCGACCAGTCGACGGCTGCAGCGGCGACCGATGCTCTTCTGGCGCGTTGTCGTCGAGGCCCGCTCACCGATGGGCACGGGGCGGAGGGTGAGCCGTGGAGCCCGGATCGGACAGTCAATGAAGGCGGAGGAAGCGAGGCCACATCTGGCCGCAGCGCATGCCTCCCCTGCGTGCTCGCCGAGGCACAGGAGGACGAGACCCACGCGACGAGGCCGGATCCGGCCGCGGGGCGTCGGCACGCCTCTCCCGCGAGCTCGCCGATGGGCAGGAGGCGGAGGGGGCGAGGTCGGATCCGGCCATCGAGGGTCGTAGCCCTTCCCCCGCGCAGTTGGCGTCGCTCGCCGCAGCGCGGCTTGAGCCCGTGTCTCCACGCTCTCTCACCGCTGTGATTTTCGCCGGCCACCGATTAATCCATCTCGATCTTGCCGAGCTCGTCCTCTCCACAGAGACACAGACAGGAAGCGGATAGACTGGAGAGAGAAAAGACTGTTGGCCTGGGTGAATAATTCGCCTGGGTCACTACTCGATGTGTGAGGGCACAACAGCAAAATGAATTAAATGGAGAGAAATTACACATTTGGTCAACTTGACCCGCTACCATGAAAAGATGCCTTTGCATCTAATTTTTATGTGCTAATGTAAAAACCACTATTATTAGTTAATATCATCTTTAATCTTTGTTAGTTTGAAAAATCATATTATAAACTGAGGTAAAAATATGAATTATGAGTACAAACCTGGCAAATAGGCAAAAACATTATAGACATTTGGCATCATCTATCTGATCTAGAAAAAAATAGAAGGGTTTATATCAAAATGCTTTAGCTCATCACACGGTGCTCCTACGCTAGAGCTGATTTCGTTTTTAAAGGAACCATATCCCTGCCAAACTGGCTCTAAGAGTATCTATAGCAATAGCTCTAAAGAAGAGTTGTTTGGCTCTATTTTTTGAGCCCTCAAATTGAACCATCACTTCTAGCATTAGTCATTACATCCCAGTTCTCAAATTTATAGGACCTAGTGACACACCCATTATTGATGCCACTTTTTTTTTATTTCTTTCCTTTCTCCTTCTCTCACATCCACGAGTAGACTCATTTTCTTTATATCCCGACATGCGCTATCCTTGGTGCCATCGTGTGTCATGGTTGAGCAGGGGCAGGTATAACAGAACCGTCCAATTTATAAGAGCATAAGTACAATAGCAATCACCGAAGCGATCGAACCATCATACTTGAACCCATATAAACCCAGTAGTCCGATGAAATCACGAAGGATCTCAAACAAACCAACGTACAAACCAAGATCGTACATGATTCAACACAACCAGTCACATGTTACAACAGGTTCACAAATAGTTCTCATACATCGAAGTTTCAACAGAGTTATTACAACCCAAATTGAGAAGTAGCGGAAGCAACATAGTTTCGAAATATCATCAAGATAGTTTAAATACATAGCCAGCTTAGGATCATCTCCAACAAAACCACATAGGTGAGATGATATAGAATGACTATGCTCTTGGTCTTACTCTCCATCCACTACAGGAGTTATGCAATGCTTGCAGTAACCATGGTACATTAGGTCATCTGCAATAAATGGGAATAAACCCTGAGTACGAGAATGTACTCAGCTAGACTTACCCGTCATAAACCAAAATAATAAGACACCAAGGAGTATGCATGGCTTTAAAAGGTGGAGTTAGCTTGACAACATTTTGCATAAAAGCTTAACTAACATAATTTGGAGATTTAGTACCTTTAGCATCAATTTGAATACCTATTCAATTAAGCATCTCTAGATTAACAACTGTACTAGAGCAATCACTTGATTAAGCTAACAAGCATTAGTAACCATATTCGGTATAAGAATAATTTGAGCATCATCATAACCATCAAGTTTTAATTAGTGCTTCCACGTTGCCGCTGCTCAATCATGTTCTCACTATTCGGGAGAGACGACGGTTCGAATCGATTCCTACCAAGCTGGGTAATTTATTCCTAACACAAATCGAGGCACACCCTGCGAAGTAGCCTCAAGTCACCTTTGGTACAATTCAGGATTAACTCGCGGGTCCAATCAGCGCTGCACCCTTAGAGATTCTACCAATATGCCAGGAAGATCGGGACCCCGTCCCGCCCTTGGACTCACGCCGTTGGCTCTTCGCACATCCTTACTGCCTCTAGTGTGCGCACTTTCACTTATTGAGCCTCGGCCTGAATTGAGCTACTCGGCTTCATGGTCGTATCACCAGATCCAGCAAACTAAGTGCTAGGCATGAATTTAATATGACATGAGGACGTAAAGCGAATCGGTCCTTAATCGACACAGACGGGGATAGATAGACACCCAAGACCTCCATGCCTTATTGCTTTTCTATCATGACCCCACCCAGTCTCCTTTATTCATTGACACATGGTTATATTCCACGCTAGCATATATAGCCAACCGTGATTAGTTATCAGCCTATATCATGCAGATGATAGGTAATCACCTGACTTCTACCGACTAAGCATGGCTAAGCATATATTCGATCCTAGACCAACATAGAATTCAAGATGTATATATATCTGGACAAGGAAGATATATGCAGCAAGTGGTTCCAATCAATTCCTAATAATTAATGCATCAACATAAAGGACTCAAGTTGATAGTTCGAAAATATAGGAGACTTAGAATGCTTCGGGGCTTGCCTTTCACAAAGGTTGAGGGCTGGTGATCTAGGCACTCAGGCAACTGTTCATCGTTGGGCTCGCCTTCTCCTGGGGCCTCCTATTGCTGCACTTCCTGATGCTCTTACAGGGGACCGACCTCGTACTCCAATACGGTGATTTCTTCCGTCGCACCTATTGCATGCATATGCAAAAAGTGAGGATCATGAATGCATAAGAAGGGTCATGTATGTCATGTCATGATAATGCGCATGGTTAAATGATGACTATCATATTATGTCATTAGGATGATAACAAGGTTCAATTCTTATTTACTGAGTAGGTGCATATCTCTTCTCTAGAAATTTCAAGAATCCACACTAAGTCCATTTCTGGACCACAACAAGGTTCAATTCTTATTTACTGAGTAGGTGCATATCTCTTCTCTAGAAATTTCAAGAATCCACACTAAGTCCATTTCTGGACCACAACACAATAGCTACAAGTTTAGATCATAACTGGAGTTGTACTCAACCAATTGCTATGATCCTAGACTTTCTAGAAAGCTTATAAAATTACCTACCACTTTGTTATTAACTATTTTTACAACAAACTCCATTTTACCTATGCAAAACACCTAGCAACAGAATCTGTCCAAAACAACTTCTATGATTGAATTTTAGAGTCATAATATTTTACTGCATACAAGAAATCAAAATTGGGCAAAACCAAAGGTACCAACAGTTCATAGGCATCATACACACTCTAGAAAATATGATGATCAAGCCCAAATAATTTATTTACATGCCTTTATTAATTCATTTGGACACAAAGGTCAAATAAAGAAAATATATCAAAAGTGCACAATAAATTCTGAGAAAATTACAGTAGCCTACATATAACCTCAAAAGTCTACTATATAAATTTCATGTCATTTGGATAAATATAGTCATCTCTACAAAAATGACAAGTTGCATGACAATATGTTACTTATTTTTATCCTTATGAATTTCCTCAGAAAACACCATTTATTAAAAGATAAATAGAAAGGCCCTACTCCAATCAAGTTTACTGAAAGTTCAATATTTTTGCTAACTAGAGCAAGTCAACATAAGATCAGTAAAATTGGAATAACAATTTTATCACTTTCCTAGCTCAAGTTATGCATTTTACAAGATTGTAAACAATTTAAAAGCACTTATATAGCTCCATTTAATTCTCCTAGAAAAACATCCCAAACAGTAGGTTTCATATTTTTATTACATATTATACTTCATGATGAATCCAACAAAATTTGGTTCACCCCATTTGGACATCTACAACTTTACTTATGAATTTTTGAAACATACATTCAAATTCGTGAAAACAAATAAGAAATCCAAGACACATGGTGACTGACAGATGGGGCCCACTGGTCAGTAGGACCCACGCGTCAGTGATACAAAAATAGAGGAGGTGCTCTGGACAGCCTTATCTCGCCGGCGGTGAGATCACCGGCAATGACGGTGACACCAACATGTTCCCCACATCGAGCCGCGTCGGTTGGTGGTGAAGACACGGCCTAGGGTTCACCGGAGATAGCTCGCTGGCGGCAATGGCGGACGGCGGAGGTAGTGCCGCGGTGAGCCGGCGTTCTTCGGCCATCACGGGCTCTAGTGAGGTGTGCTACGGCTTCGTGGAATCCTAGCGAAGCTATCTTGGGTGGTTAGGGTTCCGGTGAGGCGGCGGTGAGCTTTGACCGCGTGCATGCTGCGACGGCGGCGGCGCACAGAGCATGGTGGTGCTCTCGCCATTTTGGCTAGATGGTGGCGAAAGGCAAGTCTCCATCATGGCATCTGCTAGGTCTTGGCTTACTCAACCTAAGATGCATGAGAGAGAAGGGAGGCGATGGGCCAGCTCGGCAACGGCGAGCTCGAGTGCCACAGCGGCCATGGCGGCCGCAGCGGTGTGTTCCCGCATGACCACGCAGTAGAATCTAACCTAGTTACTGCCTAAGCATATGGACCACAAAGCGGCTACAGACCGGAGAAGAGGAGGACAGGAGGTGTGGTGGAATGGTGTGGCCACGGTGAGCCGAGCACGTGGCGGCGCTCCAACGAAATCGTGGCGACGGCGATGCGAAATGCGCCCTTACCCTGGCTCGGCAAGTTGGGCTAGCAGGTCGGGGTGGAAGAGGTGACGATGGCGGAGCTACTGGCAAGCTGGATTGGGTGGTGGTGCAACGACGATGGCGCATGAGCGGGTGGAGTATGGTGGCGGCGGCAATGGCGGGCGCGGTCGCCTCGATTCGGCGTGGAGAAGAGAGCAGAGAGCAAGAGAT